CCATAAATTGAGCACAGACAGCGAACATAAAGTGAGTTGATTTATTCAACAGAGATTTTACCTTCCTGTCTCTTGCTCTTTTCTCTACCATGGAAATAACTATTCGCTCTTTCCTTCTTTGCTTTTTTTTTTTTTTTTTTCCCCCCAACAGGAAAATATGTGCTGAACACACAGGTAAGCTCTTGTTCATTTCAATAGCTGGCTTTATTGCTTGGTGCATTTTAATGTTAGCTCACCACCTCTCATGGCCTTTCCAAAGTTTGTTCAGTGGAAGGAGAGGACAGGGCACAGTGAGCCCTTGTCTGTGTTGAACGACTTTGCTTGTATTTCTTTTCTACCCAGCCTGGCAACAAGCAGGATACAGACACAAAATGCCAGCAAGGTTAGCCTCAGTCCATTGAATGGCCTACATTTTCCAGGAGCCACACATTCTGCTTCCTGAAAAATGAGAAATTTGCTGAAACAGTAAAGCCTTTTGCTCCATTGTACAGCCATACTCAATGGCATTTTAAAAAGAAAAAAAAATACTGAAGTCACTGTTGTGCATCAGTTAAAAAGCAGGACTGCCTGCAGTAATGGAAGACAACAGGATTTAGCTGCTAAGGTCTAGGCTTCTGGCACACATACACAGCACCTTTATAATTAGGATTCATTTTGCCAAAGCTCCCTGGGTGAGGCATTGCTCTGTCTTATACCACGTGACTGGAAAGCCACAGCAAAACCTGGAGACAGCACTCGAGCTGATCAATTGGCTGGGAAAGATCACTAACAAAATGTAAAGGGTGTGGAACTGAGCTCCTCAGTAGCGCACAGAACAGCTCAGGTATGAGATGGGCTGCAGTGAAACAGAAAGCATAGAATCATAGAATCATTAAGGTTGGAAAAGACCTCTAAGATCATTTAGATCAACCCTCCATCTATCACCAGTACTGCCCACTAACCCTCAGTGCCACATCTACCCTCCTCTTGAACACCACCTGGGGTGGTGACTACGTATCTTCCCTGGGGAACCTGTTCCAGTGCCTGGCCACTATTTTGGAGAAGTTTTTCCTAATAACCAAGCTGAAACTCTCCTGGTGCAACTTGAAACCATCCCCTCTCATCCTATCAAAGCCACATTCATGCAAGTCCAGTTACTTTGGGAGGATGTGCTAATGCCAGCTGTGCCACACAGTTCCAGCATTCAGATGGAACTTAACAGTTACACAAAAGGGACTGTACTTTAGAGCAGGGTATCAGCTACAAAACATCATCAGAATGGCATCTGGGGCACACATAGCACAGCCCCATGTTACAGCTTCATGTACTATGTACCTCCCATCCAGCACGCCTGCCCCTGCTAGCTGCTCACCTCAGCAGGGCCTGATTGCTCCTCAATAAACAGTAATCAGTGGAGAAATATTGACTTCCTCATCTGCTTCCAGCTGCTCTGGTTCAATAACTAGGTCAGCTAAAGGTTAAACCAGCAGAAACACTAGCAGCAAGCTTAAATACCAACAAATAAACTAAAAAGAAAACAGTCATTGGCCTGTCTTTCCTCTCTCTTGTCCACTTTCCCAAGTGTTCATGGCCCTGGGGCTGCTCAGCCTCTGTCATGGCCATGCCTTGTGTCTAAGGCCCAAACTCACCTCAAAGGTAAGTCGATGCCATTATACCAGCAACAAAACCAGCCTGACTCCTTTGATGCACGCTGCTGTGATGCATTCAGAACTTCTTGCAAAGCTATGAATTATGTCAGAAATCACAGCCCAAACCCAAATTCTTGCATGTGCTATAAGCCTGGTACAACTTTAAAGGCATTACACAGTTTCTGGCAGTGTGTTCTCACATACTTGCACGTGCATTTTTTATTTTCCTTGTGGCACATCATTCCAATTGCAGCTGAAGACGTTTAAGCTTTGATGGGAAATATCTCGCTTTGCACACACATGCAGGGAATACATACTTCAGAGATAGTGTAATCTGCAGTTCTTCCAGAGAAAACCGGAGGGAAGCTCACTGTGCCGGCCTTAGGCTTGCAGCTGCCATTTCCACGCCGGCACTGCCACCTACTGAACGCTGGGCTGCTTGTATCAGCGCTAGCGGGAAAACAATGGAAACAAACCTACCCCAAGTAGCGGGTCGAATGTCTTTGTAGAACACAGGGTAATGTTTCTCAGGGACAAAATCTGTAAGGTGTCTTTTTTAACTTGCAGATGACACTCAGGATTCCTCAAAATGATCACAGAAACAAGGTTGGGAAAAGTCCTGAGAAAAATAAATAAGTATCAAGATGCCTTACATTTTATGTTTTATATAAAGGTGGAGGTTTGGGGGTTTCTTCCCTTCTTTTCCTTGCCTTCTATCCAGAACCAAATGCATAGAGATGACCAATCCACTGACCCAGAGATTCTCCAGTGTTTGTGCGTGCTGGGGAGGTAGGAGGCCCCTGGGAGGCAGCTTTGCTTTGTGTTACTGCAATATTGCTGTCAGCAAACAACAGAAGAAAAGAGAGGATGATAAAAAGGAGAGAGCATAAAGAATGACGTAACATACCTTTCCAAAAGGAGCCTTACACCAAATGGCCCAACAGAAGCTTTAGGTCTCAGCCTACTTGTTTTTAACTTCTCTACAATGCAACAACATTTAGTCAGCAGAAGACGTACAAGTGGCATGAAGGTTCAGAAGCAACTTTTTGAGGTCTTGGTCTAGGTTCTAAACTGTTGCTCAGTTTAGGAGGGGGACTGTAAAAAAGGCATAACGTGGAACAGCACATCCAAATCCTAGAGTGATCCAACCGGGTCCATAGACACAGCATATATAGGCATGTGTCATGAAAGCTTGAAGAGAGCTTACACAGCCATGATGCAAGACAACACCTCTCTCTGCTGGCTAGGTTTGTTGCTGCACCCCAGAAGGGCAGCAGATTTTGGTTTTGTTTATTGCTTATGTTTATTTTTTAATCTTTCTTACCTCCTGTCTCACTAATTCCAACATCAGGTTCCATTACATGATTGCTTTTTGACTGAATTGGCTTCTTCATCTCACGGTCTAGTTTTCTCTCTGCGCAGCAGGTCTCTCTTTCCTTGCCCTGGCTGCACAAGCTCTCCTTCCTGTGAGTCCTCACAGGAAACTTCTTCCTCAGCATCTTCCAATCACCATTCACATTTATCAATTCCTATGTGTTCTGTCACACAGCATTAGCATTCTTATTCATGCAATGCCCATTAGTAGTCAAATATTTATGCCATGATGTTTTATAATACGTTTCCTTGAACAAAGATTTTCTTTATCAACCCAGCATTCCCAATAAGCTATACCTGAAATACAGTAAATGATCTAGATTTCTTCAGAAGAGATGGGAAAACCAACTGCTTTTCTCTTTCCTGAAAAACTTTTATTGTTCAGTCTCTGCTCCCATTCTCAGTTTTTCAGCATTGAGAAAAGTTATTCTCGCTAGTAAAACCAAGGCGAGGTATGTAAGGCATGTATGGACTGGCTTTGGGTCTACAGAAGCACCTTTATAAAACTCAGCTGAGTTCAAACACCTTTAGAAGACAAGCTGTAACATACTGTACCTTTAAACAGTGGCCCTCCTCTCCTCCAGTTTGCAAAATTCTCTTTGATCAAGTAGCAAAACCCCAATTTTGTTTTAAGGCTTTGGAAGGGGTAGATGATTTTCCTTCTCTCTTTCTTACGATTTCATTTTCTGAGAAACCCAAACTATCTACACATTATTTTACTGAGAAACATCATATAAATTATGTTTTTCTCTGACATATAGACCCTAGGGTTTCATTAAGTGACTGCGACTTCTGAACAGCTGGAGATGAAAAACTTACAGGGATGATACAGATGGAAAGGTCATTAACAGAACACAAGAAATCCATCTGCAAATCTCCCTTTGTAAAGGTTTTATGTAACAGTTTTCTCTAACCTAGATGGAATTGAATAACATGCAGTGTGCTGAAAAACTTCTCATGTTTTCCAAAGCCTGGAATATGGATAGGGGATAAATCATTGTCTTGTTTACAGTCTGATAGATGAAAGTGGGAATTTCTAGAGCCTGTTTTTTTTTAATCAAGTATGGATGCTACTGTGGGTTCTTCGAAATACAGACAAACTGCTTTAAGAATGATCTATTCTGCATTTAGCACAGTCAATTTCAAAAATGCACAAACACACTTGTCTCTTGAAGTTCTTGAAAAAATAAATGAATAAGCATTCCACAATTAAATATCATTAGGAAACAGTAATAGATTATGACAGTGGTAGCACACTGTTTGGTGAACAAGAGAGTTATCCTTTGGTAGCTTTAGCTATGAATTCTCAAGTAATATTTTCATCCTCACAGTAAACTACTGTGAAGCATCTTGCAAGGCAAAAGAGCTGTGGAACCAGCACCATAACTACCCAGTTAGCCATCTGATGGAAAGTTCCTAGTCCAGTGGTCCCTGTGTGCTTTAATGAATCAAGACTGTAGTTCTTTCCTGTTATTACACCAGTTCTGGCAAATCTGTGAGGCTCAGCCAGGGTTTCTTTCTTACAATAAATATTTTCCCTATATAGTTTGATCTGAGAGACAGATGTGATTGTTTTTGTCTAATTTTGCATGCACATTGGACTGAGGGTCTTTTCAGGCCTTACACTGAACATCTAAGCAAAGCAATACACACAAGATTTTGAGTTACACAGAGGAATGAATATAGGCTCCCAGTTAAGTTCTGTTAGCCCAATGTTCCTAATACCTTGCTTATATTTGCATTCACTCTTAAAGTGGTCCCATGATATAAAATTGATGACAAGATGCTTTTCAGACAGTACTAGAAACAAATGCCAGTGGCTACTTCCTTTTAATAGTCTCCTCTAACTTCTAACTTCACTAGATTATTATAATTTTTACAGCGAATTTTGATAGTTCTGTTTCTTTAGGTTACTTATCTTTGAATGTATTTACTTGGTAAGTTGGAAACAACAGAATATCAACATCAAGCCAAAACTACCAAAGAAGATACATAGGAAACGATCAGAACTTCTTTATTAGGCTGACTGCTTATATTATTATTGAACAAAGAAATAGATCTCTTTTTTTAAGAATTAAGTTTTTAATACAACAATTCCAAATTTATTGGAAAAAAGGCTGCTATATATTTCTATACATTATTGTTCTGTACAGACAAAAGGTGCTTATTTGAATACAACAGTGTCATTAGATTACAAAACCAGAAGCTAGACAATAAAGCCTTTAGTTTATAGAAATATAATTACAAGAGTAAGAGGTCCACTTCTTCCACTTCTCACATTCTCACTGGAGCTCTGTAATCCACTGGGAAGTGGGTGGTTTATTTTCTTCCTTCTAAATACAAAGTTCTAGATTTCACTGCCACACTCCCGCTCGCTGTTGGCTGTCACCAATACTCTCAAAAAACATGAAATCCTAGGAAGGAAATAAAAAGCAAAAAAAGGAAACAAAAAATCCTTTTAAAATCTAGATCTTGGTTGATGGTTCTTTTGCAAGGTATTCAAAGCAATTCCCCCCAGAAACTTTATGTGATGAGAAGCAGCTGGAAGTACCTCTCTCCAACCTAATCCCTGAGTCTCTTGTAGAGAAACAAGGCATTCACAAAAAGAGAAAAAAGTGGTGGAAGACTGGGATGTTTAACTTTATCATTATCAGAAGGCATGCTTCCTTTACTTAGGATTTCCATCCTAACTTCCTTTAGCCTGACTCAAGTCCCTTCAATTTTACCTCAAACTGGATTCTACCATAAAGGTCACTATCTTTACTTTACATATGGGAGACCCGTATTCTGTGCCTGAAGTCCTTGCTTCTTCATATTCCCTACTCTTCACCTACATCCTTGCACCTAAAAACACACAGTTAAGGAAAACTTTGTCCATATGCAGGGCAATAAAAGCTGGCAAGAACTTTCCAAACTCAGATGCTGCATAAGCCTGTTTCCTCCCTTTCTGGAGCCTGACCAACACAGGAAGAGTGCACTTTTGAAGCAGTACCTGATGCTGAAGTGCACAGGTTAATTGGAAACACAAGCATGACAGAGTCAGAGTGCTGACAACAATGGCATGAAGTCAGGTGTACTTTGCCCCCCACAGAAGTCTCTGCCCATAGAAATAACTCCTCTGAGAGCATTTAGTCCTACTCATCTTGGTGCTTCATGTATTTCCAAGAAGAAGGATCAGGAGGAGCTGGATGCAGCACCTATCTGTCCAGTCCACCACCTCAGTCAGCTGTTCTGGCATTGGTTGGGCCTCCTGGCTAATGCTGTTCTGTACGTTTCTGTCTCACCACCCACATAAACATGCTTGCCTCTGCTTATGAGTCTGTAGAGTTGTCTTTTACAGGGTTTGTTAATCTGATTGTGAAAGGTTCTTAATATATTCAGCACTTCATGTAGCCTCGAATAAGCTTAATATCCAAAATATTCCCTCCACGGTCAGCTTTACACGCAAGAAATCCAGCAAAAGCTCTCAAACACTTTGAGAAGCCTATAATCAAAACCTTCATCAGCAAAATTTAAACACTGAGATGAAGTCAGTTCATATTCAAATATCAGTAAGCTACAGACTTACGATAAGGAAGCAAGCGCCGAGCATGACAGCTTTCATTTTTACATCAAGGTCCATTGGAAATGAGATTCCAAAGTTATCAGTATCTGTAAATGCTTCTTTCAAAAACCCAGACCACTGCTTAGAAATCCTCCCAATATTAGAAGCCTCATCCAAAGTCTTCACCTGTTTTAACAGAAAATTAAAAAAGAAGTTGTTCAAGAATCCCCAAATTCTTTTCATAATAGATCCATTTGAAAGCTTTAAATTGTGTTATTAAATTAATGCAGTCACTGAATGCAACTATTGGTACTGAAAGACAAACCAGACCATCAGAAAGTCAGAGTGAAGTAACACAGGCATCAACTTAATTCTACATCTGACTGGAATTCAATGTTTTAATGGTATTGGAAGTCAGCTACTGCATGCAAACATGCACGCAAGCATGTACACACACACTGTGTTGGGAGTGTTGTCTTTTAGCCAACAGAGTGAATTAGTACATCCTGCCACGCACCAGGAACAGCTCAAGGGAAAAGCAAACATTCTCTTGTTCCAAAAGAGAGGTTAGCCCTTTCTTAACATTGTTTCCTAAAGTTACACAGTGTTCATAGTTCTATGAAAGCGAAATCTCCCAAAATAAAATCAGACTAAACTTGCTTCAGCAATTTACAACATCATTTTAAACAAAGTTTAATCAGTTTATCTACTAGTTAATTTGTATGAAAATGCTAATGCATTAACCAGTACTGTTTTTAAATAAAAGCTGTAATTCTTTGGTCATTCCAGTGTGTATTTTAGGTCCAAATTATGACTTACTTGGTTAGTGAATTACTATTAAATGATTGGATGAGTGGTTGTGGAAAATCATCTTAATAAACAGCTAATACAACTGATAATAACTTTTTTTTTCCTGTTTGGGAGTAACACCATGGATTAAAAAAGATTTTGCTTCCAAATTTCCATTAAGAGATTTGCATGCAATCACAAGGAATCAGGTCTCAGATGAGTGTCTTTCATATGTGATTTCTGGAAGTTTGCCAGGCTTTTCCAGAATGATCTACCTACCTAGAGAACTGACTTGACTATATTAGCATTAAAAGATTACGTTCTAATTATTTTGTATATACCACAGTATAATTGTAATAAGAGAAGCAACAGACTACTATCAAAATACCGTTTGAAAGGAGATATATACAAGCAATTCTTAGCATTACATACCTCAAAATTAACATCCTCACAACAGCTGCAGACGACACAAGGGCCACTAATTTTCAGTACATCCATTCTTTTCTCATCCTGAACAGTAAACTTGGGCAAGCAGGGATGCCAATTCTGGACAACATAACCTACCGGTGTTCCTGGAGGTGCCTGAATTTCTATCTTCAGAGGAAAAAGAAAATCCCCACGTGAAGCAGTTTTTTATGCTTGAAGATATTCATTAGACAAAAAACAACACAGTAATATGCAAACTGAACACAACTTATTCTTCCATAACAACCCAGCTTTCCAATGAAGCCGCACTAGGTTTTCTGCAAACAACTTCAGAAAGCCGAACACATATTCCAAAACCAATACGCAACTTCAACCTTCACTGAAATCAACAGCATACTCCTGAGCTACAGGACATATAAGCTATGGGTCTAAACTGCAAAGATCAATGTATGTGAAGGAAAGATTCTAAGCATCCTGGAAGTCAAGGCCTCATAGGGTGCAGCTACTACACATCTGTCAGTAAGAGCTCTGAGAAGGCTCAGATTTGAGACTCCGTCCATAATCATCACCTGAGATTCATTAATATTAAAGAAGATCTTATCCCTCATAGTGAGAAGTGACTCACCTCCTGTAAGCAGCAGGGGAAAAAACATGACGAACACCTGAGGGGTCTCTCCAGCCTTATCACCTCATGACCCAGATTGTCCATAATCTTCATAGTGAAAGGTCGTGCTGGCCCACAGCAGTTCCTTGTGCAGCAATCAGTGTCCTCTGCTGCAAAGTACACCCTTTGTCCCAATGAATTCTTGATTTCATATTTGTTGTTTGATTCCAATCCAATAAAAACTGAAAAAAGTAACAGAACTGTTAGTTCCTGAGGTGCATCTGCATGAACAACAAATAATAAAAGTACCAAGCTAACCCTAATCTACTGCTTGGAAAAGCCTCATTTGGAGACCATCAGAGGCAGCTCTGATAGAGGGAGCAGTGGGAAAGGGCCCTCAAGCAGAGCAGCCCAACAGAAGTTCAAAAAGGACAAGCACTACGAACTTGGTGATATTGAAAGAGTATGGAGACGTCCATCAGTTCCCCTCCCTCCAGTCTTGGGTGCCTGCTGCAAGAGCAAGCATTACCATTCCTAGCCACACAGCAGGAAGGAATGGTGAACAGCAGAAGGAATGGTGAAGCAGAAAAGGGCACAGTTAAATTCATATTCAGAAAGCCACAAAAAGGCCACACAATCAGGATTCATAGCTAAACAAATATAGGATGTCAAGAGTCAATCATATAAGCCAATCTGCTATAAAAACATTTCACTTACTCTCAAGAAGTTCAATTTGCTGATGAATTAGTATCTGGTCAATCTGTTCATGGTTGAAAAATAAAACAGAATAAATAGTTAGCAAGTTGTAACTAGGATATACCAGTTTTAAGAAACATTGTTTCATTTCAGAATACAGTGTTAATGTCAATACATTGTTCAGAGATTGATATCTATCAGTAAAGCTGCAGACATGACTCATGTCTCTCTCTCATTTTAGCAGAACAGTGTTACAAGCACCAGAGCAGATGATGGAAGCTGTACCAGACTGGTCTGGCTACAGGCATGCAGGTCTAACGTACTGCTTTCACAACTTGGTGTGACTCCGTAACACTACAGAGTCTGAAATCCCCATGTCAGATGCCTGTCTCAGGAGTCTGCACAGAGAAAAGCAGGAACCATTAGGAGGAAATTCAAAAATTTTAAAGCAGAACCTCAGCTGCTCAGTCCTGAGTGAAACTAAGGAAACACCAAGTTTGGTATTGGTTTATTTTCTGAGAAATATGCACATCCATAAGCATCAGCATAAGGCCTTTGTATTTACTCCAGTGATGACATAAACTACACTTTTAGAGTCAAAGGGTGTTTCCTGTGATATATACTGCAACACGGGAGCAATTTTCATTTTGCTGCGAACATTTTCTAAGTTTGTTACATTTGATTAGAGACACTGAGAAAGCATCATGTAAGAAAGCAAGCTCATATATTGTGCTACAGGTGCTTGTATACGTATACATACAAATGTAATGCATCTTGACAAATTGCATTACGTCTCCCAAACAGTAGCTTCAGAAATGGGAAAGATATGCAATTGCTCTGTGCCCACTGTCCTTTAGCATCACACTCAGGAGTGGGTATCCCTCAAAGTGCTCTGGCCGTAACAGGCACTTCCACACTCACATGTGCATCACTCATCAAGAGGCCTCACACAGCAGCCTAAAAGCAGCAACTCATGCAGCTGCAGTAAAGACAGATGTGTTTTCTTGCTTTCTCCCAGGTGCAAGCTGCTTCTCAGGTGACCACATGTTTCCTGGGGAAGGATAAAGGGTGCAGGTACCTGTGTGAGATATTCTAGTCCAGGAGGGCAGTTGGGAATAGGAGGAGGGATGGGCATCCAGATGGTCCCGGGGGGCTGGTTCTGGATGGGTGGAACAGCAGCTCCGGGTGGGTTTCCCATGGGATGTGCCTGGTAAGCATAGGGCCCTGGTGCAGGAGTGCCTGGCGAAGAGACAGGAGAGATGCAGTTAGGGAGCTGAGGTCTTGAAAAAAGAATTGTATCGTGGACCTTCAGAAGAAAAGAACATATAAATTATTTTGAACTACGCAGATTCTCATACCTACAGCGTATTTCAGTTAGGGATATTACAACTGTCATGAAGGAAGTTATGCCGGATTGGGATGCTCTGATCACACCAGACAAAACTAAATGAAATAAACAAATGCGTCTCTCTTGAGCATAGCATTCACTATACTATTCACACGGAGATTAGTTAGAACTGTTCGAAGGACTCCCTCCCGTGCGGCAGCGGGTCGCAGCACCTCCGCAGCAGGGAGTCCTGCGGCGCACCGCCAGGTGGCGCCAGCAGCCCCGTGCCGGGAGAGCTCTGACGTCGTCACCAGCAGCTGCGGAACGGGAAGGGCGAGCTGCCCCCGTTTACCGTTACGGCAGGCTGGTGACAGCTCCAGTCAGATGCACAGTTCTGTATTTTGCTCAGAAGCACGCAGGAGCTTGCAAGGAGAAACCAGCATGAATACTTTAGTAGAAAGTCCGAAGACAAGTGGTTCCAGAGATGTTGCCTCATAGACCTCGTGGTTAACCTTAGCACCAGTGCCTCATTCTGTTATAAAACACACTGGTTCACGTGAAAGGTGACGCTGCGGCCATAAACCATACAGCGCATGCAGGCGCGGCGTACAGCCCCGCAACAGCAGCACCGCTCACCGCAAATAAGGACCCACCCTCCTGCAGAGCTGACGGCTATCAGCGTGTGTTACATGCAGCATTCGGGTAACACAGCCACTCCCTGGCCTTGAGCACAGGGAGCACGTGCTCGTTCCTTGAAGGCTGGTAATCACAGAACTCGGATTTCCTAGCTGAAAGACGCACAAGGTTTAATGTACACACAGCACAGAAACTTAAGCCAAACCCTTTGCACTTCATAAATAATTTATGCCTGGAGCCTGTTAGATACTGTTCAGCTGATCTGGCTCTTCAGAAAGCAGTTTGCTGCTAGAGTGATAAGCTATTTGTGAGTGCTCTGTTCTGAATGGGAAGCAGAAAATGAGATTAAAAAGAGGAAATAAATGGAAGGTACAACCACATGCAAAGTACAGCAGCAGGAAAAGAAACAGAAATAGGATCTATGCAAACGACAGAACTGTGAGAGGAAAACAATCCTTCACTTCTGGATTAGTAGAGAAAAAGAAACTGAAGAACTGAAACAACATTAAAAAAAAAAATCTGATCATCAGCAAGAAGATGCCACACATTAATTGTGTTGCATCAGTAGCACTTCCCTACTAAGCTCACCCCCAGCAACCACTGAGGAACAGCTAGCATTGCAGACTTCCTCCACTGCTGGACTGCTCAGCACACATAAACATGTAACACCGAGAAGGAAAGAGTATGACTTTCCACCAGAACAGATATTAACAGAAACGTTACAGAATTAATACAGAATTGTAAATCGGAGATGGCTGCTTTGATGGAACCTCCTGCTTCCCATGCACACCTCATAACCAAACAGCAGATCTGTAGCCAGGCAACCTACCGTAGAAGTTCCCAGCTGCATACTGCGGGTGGCCATATGGGGCCTGGTTTCCTGGTGCATAGCCAGTATTGGAGAATCCAGGTGGTGGTGCTGGGTTATTTGCTGTAAGAATGCAACATACGCTTTGAGTATTCCTCTCACACATAGGGGAAAAGGTCCCCAACACCGCCTTCTTTTTCAGAGTAGGTGTACAGAAATTAAGCTGCTGTTTCCTGAACAGCAAAATGAGCTTGTATTTTATCTATTGAAAACACGTGTATTAAAGCATGACATAATTCAAAGGGGTTCTGATTCTTAGCATGCTTAAAAAAGGACAGTTACTGCACTGTCATGCGTATCACGAAGAATATCACAGAATAACAGAACTGGGATTCGAACTGTTTAGCTGGAAGCCACACCCAGAGGTCACCTAGCCAAGCCCTGCCAAGCAGGGTCAGCTCACTGTCCATCTGCACCACAGGGACATTTGTTCATTCACATTCACAGGAAGCTTCAATGCAAAGAATTGTCCCAGAACTGACAGGCTGCACTCCCGTACAGAACAGACTGGTCAACTACAACTCCTTCTCCACTACATAAAACTTTTCTCCCAAGTTCTTCTTGCTAGTAATGTGCTAATTTGTCAGCTAACCTGCTGACTTCAGAGTTATGAATTTAGTATCGTTTACCGACATCAGCATGTAAGCAGAAGTAGCCTGTGTTTCAAAATGATTCAAGATTTGAAAACATTGTGTAAATTATTAAATTTTGACATTTGAATCCAAACATTCAGACATCTTTCCTAAAATTATTAGGCAAATTTATATCAGTTTAAACTAACATTGCTTGAATACTTAAGAAAGAATATTATCTTTACTATAACACAAGACAACGCTGGCCTGTTTTACTCACCTTGCATTGCTATGGATCTGCTTGTAACCGTTCTGCAAAACAACATATTTATTTATTGGTTTTTGAATATACAATTTCACAGAAAGGCCACTCACCATTCTCTATTAATTAGCAGTAAAAGATATATGAATGTCTAAATTATATGGAACTGTTGAATTACAAACAGAAGCTAAAATAACTGAATATCTCAGCCACCGGGGCCACCACGAAATAACCCTGCATTGCCTTTGCCTGCTGCACTCCTGCTTTGTGTATCCTGAAACCATGCTCAATTCGTTGGAAAGCACCGGTTATTCAACTGCAATACAGGATGACATTGTGCAACTATCCAAAGTCACTGTGCAATTCATATGAACGAGTATAACAGTAATTTCAGAGCAATTAGTTTAGTTATCCATGCGTCCAACAAAACCTGCTTGGGTAAATCTTGAAGCAGCTGCCACTAATAAATCTCCACGCTATTTCACTTTTCAAGTGGCCCTGCTAGATATTATATATGAAGACAAAAATTGCATATATGATAAGAGGTGGGCTAGCACATGCGAGTGAGCATCCACAGCAGACTGCCAGCAGCAAAAGGGCCAGCTGTTTGCCTTTTTCTATTGTTCTAGGGCTTCCAAAAGGACTTGAATAAGCAAGAGAATGTAGCAAAACCTAGAGATATATTTTGTCTGTTACAGTTCATCCAGCTAGTCAAGTTCAGCAAAGACACAAAACTGGGAATTTAATCTGAAAGCAGTTATTTCCTGTTTCTCATTCTCACAGCAAAAGCTAGTATCATAAGAGGATGCTGAATGGCTGTGGGACAATGTGGCATCCAGCTCACTGCCCAGCTTAACACAACATCCTCTTTGTTTAATAAATTAGTTTTAAAAGTGATCTTCCCTATATCCTTTTTCTTCTTTACTAGCATACTCTCCTAACAGAAATACCATGCTGCTTTATGTATTTTAATTGGATTCCAGTTCAGTATGTGTATAGATTTTAAAAAAAAAAAAAAGTAATCTAAAAAAATGCATCTTCAAAAATAAAAGAAAAAATCTGAAATAATGCATTAAAACTACATAATTAAACCTTGTCCTTGCTGATGATAATCTGGTGTGTCACATTTAATGTATGACCATATTAAAATATGCTGACACAACTTCCAGCTTGTGGGAATACACAAATTCAAGGTGATTTAAGTATTTATGTAAATGGATCTTTTGCAAGTTTCAATATATCAGCTCACACTGTGAGATGTTCTGCATACCTGAACTTCTGAAAGGTACTAAGAATTACAACTGAACCCTTTAGTAAAGGTCAAGCAGAGACAGAACCATAGGATTCATGCAACAAAAAGCCTTTATATTAGCCCAGAGTATTTTCTCTCCCTATAGCCACTCGCACACTCCTCTGTGTGACTGAAGATTCAGAAATACTGAGATGTGCTCTACAGCTAGTAAAGACTTTACAAAATTCACCTCCCATTTCATCAGACACGACACTAGTGTTGACATTATTTCTTTCACTAACGTTATTTCTCTATTGCTTTTATCCAGACTCCTGCCACCTGTGATTCAGCTACCATGTCACAGCACTGCCAGTCACACCTTGCTTTTCATCCATGTGATTTCATCGATTGTGAAATAATGTAAAATTCTGAAGTACCACAGGAACAAGGAACAAAATCTCATTTTTCTCAATTGTGTTACACAATAGATTGTTCAGCCATTCTCATATGCATGGGGAAATTCCCATCTGGTGATGAAAACGTAGCAATGAGCAGACCAGTTGCTTTAAACCTTTCCAACCCAAGTTATGCCAGGATTGTAAGGATCCTTCAGATGCCATGCTGGGTGCCACAAAGCCCCGCTGATGGCACATCCCTGTGGAGAGGACCTGGCTGGGGCTCTGGGCCTGCCCCACACTGGAGCTATTTGGGGTCAGGGCTGGGAATAGGACCATGTGCCCGGAAGACGTCTTCCGTTCTGGTCAAGCACTGCCCTTTCCTGGCTGAGATTCCCATGGGATTTCATAGCTCTGGGCTCACAGGGGATATAAATACCCTCCTCTGGTAGAGGAGAGACCTCTCAGGGTTCAGTTTACTCGGAGAAAAGCAGGAGTGATTTTGCTGGCAGGTTCCAGTAGTGACACTCATGAAATAGTTTCTGGATCACTGGGAAACCTGACATTTCCAGGCAGAGCCAGCCCTGCCACCAAGCAAAGGTGGAAGGGAACAGGCTCTGTGCCTTCAGGAGTGAAAGAGACCAGGCCCAGCAGCCTCACCCATTGCCCATGCCCGGAAGCACTGTGCTGCCCACCTGCCTGCACAGCAGGAGCTCCCAGGCTTCTCCCTCTGCTCTGACATGCTGCATTCAGGGCCTTCCACAGCTTAAACTCTGTCAACCAACAACAACAACACACCCAACCTGTTCTTTATTTTCTCAAATCATTAACAAGTACCACAGAAGTGGCACTGAGGTGCAAGGCGCTGCATTTTTCCCTCTCGGGGAAGTTAGAGCCCAGGCACCTAAGGTCAGCAAAAAGCTTTTGGAAAGGAAATTGTGGAATTATCTGTTCTGAAGGAAGTCAGAACAAAGCAGTTCCAGTTCAGAGAACAGTATGGGAACACTGCCCTGAGACCAACCCCTTTCAATGGGCCACACAATGCCCATGCTGCTTTTCCACCCCTTACTCTTCTCAGAACTGCATTACACAGCCTCAGTTTCTAGATCTTACCCCGATGCACGTCTGAAGCGATGATGCACTGCTTTCAAGACCCTTTAATTCACTTAACTGCTGGGCTTCTGCTTTCTATCTGGAAAGCGGCACTGCTTCCATTCGTGACCACCAGCTCCATCTCCGACCCAGCTGTGCACAATGCTGCCAAGAGCACATTAACACGTGTCCCCAGACACAAACACTATACACAGTGCCACTTACAGACCCAAACAGGCCCTTTCTGAGAAAGCACGTGGTTTAGAAAACAGACTTGAAGAGCCAAATAGCCGTAAGGCAAGCATTAGTTCACCCCAGCTAGCTTTATAGCACCTCTTTCTACCGCTCATTATTTCCGACTGTTCAAACGCTGGATTTTAACCTTGACTGCTTAGACTTTAACTCTGTTTACTTAATTAAACAGGTGGGGGTTTTTTTTGGTGGTTTTTTTTTTTGTTTTTTTGGTTTTTTTTTTGTTTTTTTGGTTTTTTTTGGTCAAAATTAACAAAATAGCTTTTCAAGAAGGAATTTAATGACCTGCAAGTGACACAAAATTATTTCCTGGTGCAGTGACATACCTCCTCCCTTACACAGACCTCCCTGATCCCCAGGGCCCTGCATACAGCCCTGGGGGCATCGTGCAGAGCATCCCGGCTCAGCCCCACCCAGGTACCACCGAGCCCCCAGTGCCACCAGGACCACCACGCATCCTCAGCACTGCCAGAAACGAGATCTCCCCATAAGCCCACCTTCGGAAGGAGTTACTGTGCCACTTCTAACAGCCGGCTATCCTCGAAGAGAGAGATTCTCTTATTTCACCGCACAATCCCCCAGTGAAAAACGTGGCCTTTCTGATCATGAAGCATCCCCGTGACAAAAATACAGATACCTTCAGAAGTACCCGGAGGAAATCCTACGCGGCGAGCACACGCCCCGCCAGCACCTGGAGACCGCTCCGCACTGCCGCAGCGCTCAGCGCGGCTCTTAGCCCAGCGGGGCGGGTGCGGCCGGGAAGCGCCGCCGCCCCCGAGCAAAGCAGAGACCGGCGCGGCCGGGAAGGGGCACGGCCACGGGTGCGCGGAGCCCGGCGTGCGTCACGGCCCCGCCTGCGGCTCCCCCGCGGAGCGGCCTCAGCCCGCCGCTGACCCGAGCTCGGCGCTGGTGGCGGAGCGCGAGGGCGAGCACTAAAAAAGCCCTGAGTATTTCTAGAAGGCCTTGCACGGCTCGAAATTTAAAGTGGTAATGGCTCCCCCGGTATAACTTCTGGAACTGAAGTAACGCAGGTGCTCTTTAAGGAGGTTTGGCTGTTCAGCTGCTTGTTTCAAACGCTATTTGGCAAAACCAGCTGGTTTATGGGAAGCATTGCTCAGGAAGAAAACAAAATGAAACTGCTTTTGATTAGTGCTTATCCTGGATGCAGTTTGTGCATAGTTTCCCGAAAACTGGAAAAAAAGCTCTGAGCATCTTGAGTTGTTCTAACAGCAATGCTTGGAGGGCAGTTATTGCACTCCTATACTTCTAAAGTTCAAGCTGGAATGTTGTGTCTGGCTTTGCCCCGAGCACTCTGTGCCAGAAGGACCTTTGGGCTCAGGGTCCCAGGACAGTCAAGGCTGCAGTACTTTGTGAGAAGAGGCAGAGAACATGGAGTTTCTTCTGCTTGGAGAAAAAATGGCTGTGGGGAGACCTAATAGCCATGTGCCCATATCTGTGGGAAAAACATCAAGGCGATATATGCCCCAGCCCTGAAGGTGCTTAACGTTGGATGGGCCCTGGGCAGCTGGGTCTAGTGGATGGCAACTAGCTCCCAGCAGGGGGTTGGAGCTGAGTGATCTTTAAGGTCTTTTCCAATCTAAACCATTCTATGAAAACACTGTTGATTTAAGGAAGTGATTGGCTTGCATTTGGTTCATTCTGATGTCTGATAAGTAACACTTTAATGCTTACCAATACAATGGTACCAGTTGGAGAAATACAGACAGCACAGAGGATCCATACTGCTCGGAGGAATGCTGTTCTTAAGTCTGAGCAGATTGAGACAATTGGAAACTGTCCTGTAATTTTTAAAGCTGTCCTGAATTCTTGCGCTTTCCATGTAGACCCTGGGGAACTGCTCACCATCCTTAATCCATAAGCAGCCCATTGGTGCTCAAAAAGAGTACCAGGAGAGCTACTAGTAGTCTATCAGATAAGAGCAGCTGTAGTTTAGGGCCCAAAGGCTTGCCATGCCTATATTTAAATTAAAAAATAAAAAGAGGAAGAAGAAAGAAGGAAGAAATCAGAAATCAGTTATATTTCATCAAAATTTGTTAATGGATGACCTAGACAGGAAAGTGTTAAATACTTCCTTACAGCTCAGCTATTTTTGTAGAAGCTGCTTCGTAGAAACATGTATGTTCCATATGTTTTCAGGTTAAAGATTACCCAAAGATGCAGTTAATATCCATGTCACATAGATAAGCCAGGGATGTATTTTATTGAAAGGCCTGGTTTTATAAGGGTTGTTGTACATAGGTCACTTAAAGTATTTATTGCCGTGAAAACTATAAGAGGAACAAAAAGCACAATAACACTGTTTGATAGAGCAAGTTCTCAGCTACAGAACACTATTTTTCAGCACAGACACCACCATCAGCTGTGCATTTTCATCAGCAACAAACAAGAGCCTGCATGCAGCATACATAGATATTTCCATCTCTAGGCTGCTGCAATCCTTTTCTTTCATCATACATTCCTACTTCAGAAAGCTTAAGAGTATTTTCAGACAAGTAATAATAGAAAGCAACTCCATTTGATAAATCACCAGAAACAAAAAAAGCATTTTCACAAGAAGGAAAAATATATTCTGCACCTTTATGTTAACAACTGGCTAACTGATTCTTAAAACTGATTTTTCACTATGTCTAGGATGTAATGAGTAGTAGCACTATTCTGAAATATATTACATATGGCATCATCATCACCTCAGTAGCACAACAGTCACTTTGTCAGATCTCACAGCTCTGAACACTTCTGCAGCACCTTTGGGCCATGTGTTTTTAAGTACAGATAACAATTCCAAGCTGTATGCCCACATCAGAAATGAAATAAATGATAGCTGAAATTATTTTACTTTGTTTTTTTCCCTTAGGGAAATATATATATATATATATTATATATATGTACTATTATATATATATATATATATACCATATTTTATATATATTATATTATATATATATTTATACACACAAACTTGTGTACTTCTCAGTCATGGCAAGAACAACAAAAAAAGAAACAGTGAATTGCTAAGGAAAGAAATCCCTTGCAGCAGTGTGGCTCACGTGCTGATGGCAGTGTTGGTGAAATCACCTTCTACTTCCTTTTCTTTATACGTTCATGTAATCATTGAATCACAATGGTTGGAAAAGACCTGTAAAATCATCTAGCCCAACTTACCACTAATAATGCCCAGTAAACGATGTTCTTAAGTACCACATCTCCATGGTTCTTGAACACCTCCATGGACAGTGACTCCACCACTTACCTGAGCAGCCTGTGCCAGTACCTCACCACTCTTTCAAATATTTTCCTAATGAACCTCCCCTAGAACGACTTGAGGCCATTCCCTCTCATCCTATCGTTACCTGGGAGAAGAGAGCAACTCCCACCATGTCACAGCCTACTTTCAGGAGTTGTAGAGGGTGAAAAGGTCTCCCCTGTGCCTCCTCTTCTCCAGACTGAACAATCCCAGTTCCCTCAGCTGCTCCCCCTAAGACTTGTGCTACAGACCCTTCACAGCTTCACTGCCACGCTCTGGACATGCTCCAGGGCTTCAGTGACATGATTACAGTCAGGGCCCAAAGCTGAACTCGGTACTCAAGATGCAGCCTCACTAGAGCTAAGAGAGGGAATATCACTTCCCTGCTCTTGCTGGCTGCTCTATTTCTGATGCAACCCTGGATGCTATTGGCCTTCTTGGCCACCTGAACACACTTCTGGCTCATGTTCAGTTGAATATCAACTAAGACCTCCAGATCCTTTTTCTCCACATAGCCTTCCAGACATTCTGCCCCAAACCTATACTTTTGCTTGGGTTTGTTGTAGCCAAAGTGCAGGACATGGCACTTGGTCTTGCTGAACCAGGTGGGTCGTCTTGTCATAGGAGAAGATGAGGCTGGTCAAGCACAGCCTGCCTTTCATGAACCTATGCTGGCAGGGCTTAATTCCCTGATTGTCTTGCACATGTCGTGTGATTGCACTCAGGATGATCTATAGATCCTGTAGTCCATGGTAGGGCTGCTGTTTTCCATCTATATCTCTGCAAAGCAAGCTGCACTTAATCTAAAACAGACACATCTAATTGCAGTAATTTGTGCATGCATGAATCCCAAGACTGCAAATTAAATTAGAATCCTTACCAGACAAAAGAGAAATGAGTAAATGAAGGTCACTTTGTAACCTTATATATTCTACAGCCGCCCTTTTCTATCTCCCAAAATAAAGTCTTCATCTGAATATTCAACTTTTATAAATAAATAAATATATATATATTATTCTGGCCATATTTTGAATTTCATCTAGACAATGGGCATGTCAGAGATTTGGGGATTTTATTTTGGTGGTTCTACCAGCTACATACAAATCTAATCTGGAGTTGTCATTATTCCGCATATCTGCACTGAGTCCACTAAGAGAATTAATACTGGGCACCAATTTTTGTCAGGAATAGATATATGTATATTTTCATACGGTTGGAAAATCAGAAATACATGGTAGTATATGATAATATTTTTCCTTTTCAACAGGAATGAAGTTGTTAGCTAGTTCGACTTACGTGCAAAGATTTAAATACTCTATTCCAACAAACACGCTTGTTTGACATAGGCATGAATGTTGTTTCCTGCATAAGGATATCTTTGTCCTGTCAAGGAGAACAGCAGCATATCCTTCCTTTTTCTCTCAGACATTTTTCTGGAAGAAACCTACTCACCTGCAGGGCAGAAGAAATATGCCATGTTTTACACAACACTAAGTAAATGGCCAGCCTGCCATACAGAACAATACCCAGCTTGTTTTCTCCAACTGAGATCACTGGAGTCACAACAGGCTGTCAGTCAGATCACATAGTGCCTCTTTATTTGCCCCAGAGAGCAGATTTAATCAGTGCCTTAAACATTTGAGAGAAAAGTTGGAATTGCTTCAAAAGAAGTGAGAAAGGCACCACGCTCCTTCTTCAGGTTTATCATGTTTAACTGGAATTAAACATTATTTGTAGATTCCTGATCCCATTTTTGAGATGTTGCATGCATTCAGAGTGCTTAGAATATCACAGCCACTTCAACCTCCAGTCCTCCTAAACTCTGGCACCTTGGTGGATCCTGTAGCATCCAACCGCGATGATGAGACCTCAACCCTGTTGATGAAACATGGCGAGAGTAACATCAGATCACCACCACTGTGTCAGGGATGATGAACATGTAGCAAAAAGCAGCTTAAATCTAAATATATGAAAAATAGATAAATTACTATTATTATTTCTCTGGTATGGAACTGGGGCAAACAGATTCCTTCGCAGCAACAGCTGACAGACAGAGAAATGAGCCGATGTCTTCCACATCCCAAATTGTGCTCTGTTTTTGGTTCAGTAACTGGGCCTTGACTAAGATAATAAAAGATGTATTCACAAAACTAGAAGACACAGCTGACACAATAAGTCAGTATTAAAGATTTGTAGCTGTGGTAATAGGACTGTTAGCTTATTTGATTTCATTTAACAATGTCAAGTCAGCATCAAGCTTGCAGCCTGACTAATGACTTTCAGGTTCTCCTTTGGGAAGGGAAATGAAGAAAATAGTTTTAATACCATCGCATTTTTTTGTTAAATCAGCATTCTAGTAACAGAGTGGTATGGATAAGAATTCTGAATTGCTTGGTTCTTCCATGTTGACCTGCTAGGTGTCCACTTAGGCAGATAGGGACGGTCATTTAAACAGGGAAAGCAATTCCCAGAGTGAACA